ATATATATATATATATATATATATATATCTTTCTCTCTCTTTCTCATATGTCGAGTTGTAGCTATATTAGAACCTCTACATCCATCTGCGGGTTATATTTAATGCTGCCTGTTGTTTGCCTCTCCAAGAGAGAGAGAGTTCACTATAGCGTGCAGACATAGGATTGAACAATATTTCAATCATTTGATGATTGTTACGATGTATGTCATAATTTGTTGCCTTTTGGAGTATGTGAGACACATCAGACCCCCTGTGATGACCAATGTGTGTATGTTGTGTTTTTTTTTTGCATTCTCTGTAATTTAAATTCAAATGTAGTAGGTTGTGAAATGTTTTGGAAGTTTGTGCGGAGGTCGGCTGAGGTGCCGAGGTGCAATCATTTTCACGCGGACATGAAAAACACATAGCACATTCACAAACGCCGTGGATGGATAGTTACGAACTTGGCCAGCCGCAAAACCGTGGTGATGAATGTTGTGTCATATATCGTGTACCATGCGTAAGTCGTTGCCTTTTCGCGCACGACCATAGAACCTGTCATGGCATATAAATTATCGTGTCGCACGGTTGACTACTAATCTTTCTCGATTGGGATCAGCGACACAGACCATTTGTACAAAAAACAGCAATCAGTACTCCCTCTCTATCTCTTTCTCACAGAGTAGAGGATGTGAGGCACTTACATAATATAACAAAATATGCTCTGCAATTTATAATTCTAATAACCTGAACCAATCTACAAAATGCTAATGAAAACACTGTCCGCACCGCTCTGTTTGTTTTTGGAATGCACTGCGTGCACAGAAAATGGACAGCGGTCCACGGGTGTGCGACTGTGGCAGGCCTTTCATGTCATTACGAACTTTGAACTCACATCGTGCGAGGGCATGCCCGACCGTGGCGGACGAAAGAACACATGGCCAGGAGATGGGTGTGGTCGATGACGGCGGAGCATCAAGTATAGGTGTAGTGAATCTCGTGAGCGATGAGAGCGAGGACGTCGGGGCCCCCGAGAATGTAGACGGCGAGGGCGGGACATTTGAAGAGCAGCAACCGCAGCCTTTCGAATTTTTTGACAGCTCTCGCAAGCTGGCGGCACTGATCTTCTCCGTCAGGGGCGACGTCGGTATGTCGCAGAGCAACATAGATGCTCTCTTGTCACTTCTCACGGACCCGAGATTCTGCACGAGAGACATTGCGTATCGTAATAGTCGAGAGTGTTTGACATGGGCAGGGAGTCTAGCAGACGCTGCTGGATGGAAAGAGTTGGATCTAGGTTTTGACGATTGACCACGGGATGCGCACGCCATCTTGTGGCACCGCGACTGGCGAACGACATTTCTGTCGATTTTTCATGTCGCATTACAGAAATGAGAGACAGTGTCTTCTCTAGAAGTGTCTCCGCTGTCAGAGCACCTCAGTATATTTGGCCCACGGAGCGGGGCGCTAAGTTATCACATTCAGTCGATCATTCGAGCGGACAAAGGCATGGACGGGAATGGTAGTCCACGTTATGTTATCCCTCTTTCATTGTATTCCGACAAAACACATACAAACGGTGATCAAAAACAGACGGCGTACCCTCTGATGATGTCACTAGCCGACCTTGCATCCAAAGCCACACTGCTGGCCTATCTTCTTGTGCTTCATCATCGTCCGCGTGACAAATGATGGGGTCTGCAGTCCACCTCATTAAGAAAGCGAAAGACCATCATTTTGCACAAGGCCCTTTCAGTAGTGTTGCAATCTGCAAAGGACGCATCTCATGACGGAATAATGACGCCGACAACGCGATTCGGGGACATAACTGTCCACCCTTTCCTCTTCAACTATATCCAGGACTACCCAGAACGATGTGCGATTGCAACTGTGAAGTTTGGTGTATGTCCGACATGCACCGTGCCCAAAAACGATTTTGATGTCATAGCCGATTTCACAGACTACAGGAGATCACAGACGCTGGAAACACACCTCACAGCAGATGTGTTCACCGCCGCCGACATCGACGTTCGCCGTGCAGCGGAAACACGAATGTCGGAGTTGAACATGCATAGGCATGTTCAACAGAACGGCCTTTGAGGGTTCTACAGGGGCCCCAATGGTGACGATCCTCAGCTAGACTACCACCGGGCATTGCAACCAGACCGTATGCACACAATCGAGCGCGGCATATTCCTGCACATGATTGACGCATTCAGGACCGCAGCCTTTGAGAAGTTGCCGCACTTACCACAAACAGAGATCCTGAAGGAACTAGATGCAAGGTTGCAAAGCGTTAGTGAGAGATGTACGCGAACATAACCCCAACTTGTGTTGTCGGTGGCCACTGACAGCGACTTTTTTTCGAGGGAGGGACGGTTCGAGGCGAAGCAAAAACGGTCTGTGATGACAGTGTGCGTGTTCCTTATTTCTAATATTAAACCGCGCTCGACAGGCAAGGACATTACCGTTTGTTTTGTGAAACTGATGGAAATGTACATACGAGTGTTTCGGTGTACAACACACAGTCGTGCTTCGCTCGATGAATGCGACGCTTTGGTCACGGACTTCGTAACGACCATCAAAGGAAAATTGGAAAAATATCAACCATCAACATGGAAACTCCCCAAGTTGCACAGTCTCATGCATCTGACAACGTGTATTGAGCGATCCGGTGTCCCCGACACCTTCGCGGCAGATGTTTGGGATCATCACCACAGGAAATTCAGCAAACAGCCATACCTGTCATCAAACAAGCGGAAAACTTCAACCCAAATGGTAAACCATGTGCGCCGGTCATTGGCGTTGCGCAAAGAGATCGGGATCGTGAAGAAACGGAGGAAGAAAACGGTTGAGAACCGGTCGTCCGTGACAGATTGTATGGCCACCGGAATGAACACTCTTGCACTACGCAACACGACAATGCTGGAACTGCGGTGGTTCGATATCGATGACGAATACATACGTGAGGGAAAAGGCATTGACAACCATGCGTGTAAGATACTCGAAGAGCTTCCTTGCAGACGCGATTTTCGAGTTGCGCTTACGACATACATGGTGGAGAACGGTTGTCAACCTCCTTCTGACGACCTTCTTATACACACACGGACAAACTTGGTCATCGCTTGCGTACAGGACAGAACAAATAGGGGCACACTTGTTCAAACTACAAGAGCGTCACCACAGTTCCATGGGAGCACAGTGCACAGTGACGTCGCAATTAGAGCAGGTTACGAATGCACATGGTTTGCATCAGTAGCCATGTTTTTTATCGTGGACGCACCCACGGATAGCGGTAATATGGAACACAACTGCGAATTTGTGCAATGGTACACGGAGGTCGACAGTAAACGACAACATATGAAAGGTTGCAAGAAATTAAAATGAGAGAAGTTGAGTGGACATCAACACAGTAGCGTCGTTTCGACCGGCACTATTGTAGACATAGTTCACATTGTTCTGCGCTTCTCTAAACCACAATGGGGATCGAAGCAGCATGAAAAACAGTGTGAGGACTGTTTTTATTTGAGCAAGTACATATTGTAGAAGAAACAAATGCAAACTAAGTTTCTATGTTTGCTATGAGAGAGAGAGACAGGGAAAGAGAGAGAGAGAGAGAGTGTGTGTTTCTATCTGTCGTCGCCCAGGGACAGTCATGTTGTTTCTTCCGAAGTATAGGGGAACAAGAGAGGACATTCGTCTCTTTCTTTCCGTTATTTGTTGAGAAATATCATGTCAAATGTGGCTAAGCTTATGAAGCGGTGAAAACCACATGCGAGACGAAAGTGTCCCCAAAAGTTCGCTACTGCGTGACATTTACGTGGTCAACAGTGATAGTCATTTCAGTTTTGGCACGCAGTACCCGACCTCTCTCTCTCTCTCTCTCTCTCTCTCTCTCTCTCTCTCTCTTTCTCTCTCTCCGAAGTATCTTATAAAAACGATTTGAAGTTGTTAAAAAAATTAACAAATCGTTTGTGTCATTCCAATTTGACCGACACGTGTGAACAGGAACAAAAACTTACGACGTCGCGCAACGTTCGGGAAGGAGCGACACAGAACACTGAACAACAGGGTGCAGATAAAAAAAACCGAGCGAGGATGACAAAGTCACAAAAAAGTAACACGTGTGGTGGTGGCGCAAAGTGCCCATATGTGGGTACGGAACCGGTCATCGGTCCAAGGATGGAAAATAAAGACGAACAGCACCGTAGAGAGGTGGCAAGCGAACTGTTGTTGTCAATGACCAGTGAGAGGTCAGCAAAGAGGTGACATAAAATGTTAAGGGACCCTTGGTACTCGAAAATGTACGATATAATGACAGAGGGTGAAGCAAAGTCTCCCCAGTTGATAATCGAAGCACTAAGGGAAAAGCGAAAGTCGGGGACAAGACGAGAACGAGAGAAGAGCAGACTGACATTAATGATGACAACGAATTGACCGTTGGCTTGACCGTTCAGGTCGTCAAAGGAAGATGCGAGGAAAGTTCACTACTCCGGGCCTTTGTTACATAAAAACCGGTGGCTTCACCAGTTGATTGGCCCGCAGTAGCCAACCTTCTTGCGGTGATGGTCGGGGACATGTTCGAAGTTTTTCTTTGCTCGCTATTTTTTTGTTATTGTGACTATGTGAACCCGTACCGCCTGACAATACGGATACAGTCATTCTGACGCACAAAGAGGTTGGTAACTTAAATGACGTCGCAGTATCAACAATAAGATCTTGGTTGTGCCTCTCTCTCTCTCTCTCTCTCTCTCTCTCTCTCTCTCTCTCTCTCCCCACCTCACATTGCCAACAACCATTTTTTTTTTATTTTTTTTTTTCCTTCTTCTTCTTCCTCTCTCTCTCTCTCTCTCAATGCGGCCATTACACTTCAGGGGTGTATGGATCGGCGCACGACATTGCTGATGCAGTTGTTGTTCGTATTCCACTTTGATGTATGTGGGGAAAAAAGGGTTATGGCTCCAAAGCCAAAATACGAGGATCTGTGCAGGTCTTTGAAAGGCGTGGGAAAGAAGGACAAGGGGAGGAAGAAATGCAAGGCTGATAAGAAAAAAGAAAGGAGAGAGCATCGCAGAAGCAGATCCCAAAATGCAAAAACGGAGCGGACCAGCAGCCGCAGAAACGGATCAAAAGTTTCTCTCCCATCAAGTCAGAAGGGGATTTCAAAGCTGAAAGAACGCAATGAGTCACCCTCTGCGACTCCTGCCCCACGGAACCGTGCCAGCGGCGTCGAGAACCGTCCACCCAAGGCCCCCGAGAAGAGGTCGTGGGAAGACGGAATGCCAAAGGTGCACCACAGGACAAAAAAAAGAATCACGTACAAAAAGGACAGAATGGTGGAGATGATCGATCGATCTGAGAACCTCGGACGATGTGCACAGCGCGGCCCGAGAGGAAGCAGAAGAGGAACACGACCAGTCCATATCAGAAAAGTCTGACGGGGAGGAGAACGAGGCAACAAGTGACGAGGGAGGTGACAGTCAAACTTCCGATGGACATTCTCGCGACACTCACGACGCTGATGACGAGGACGGCAGGAGCAGCGACGGCGGAGCGCAGGACGAGGGCGGTGACGGGGCAAGCGAAGACAACAGAAGCGCGGACGGAAGAGGGAGTTCCTCATCTCTGGGAAGAATGCGGCACACGAGGGAAGCCGAAAGTGGCGGCGAGGGAGGCGCAGCCGACGCGCCCTCCATTGACAGATAACTAGTAAGGCACGACAACGCAGTTAAAAAAGATAAACAAAATGTGCTGAAGTTGCTCCTCTTGCACAACGATTACGTGGTGACGGCGCAAAGTGATGACATTTCCTTATTGTGAGGATGTCGTTGTGATGAACTTACAGTTGAAACGGGCTGTCGAATTTGACAGGTGCGAAAATGGGTGCGAAATGCGGAGTTCTTAATTTTATTTTGTGCGTTGTAATGTGTGTCTTCCAGCAAATGGCACGAACTGGCAAAGAAAGGTGTGCGCGAGTAGGGGAGGACAGTAACAAGGCAATCAAGAAAGCGGCGTATTCTCGAAGGAAATGAAGGACAGACTGTTCCGGGCGGTCACAAAAGCCTTTGCGTTCTCAGCAGCAAAGGACGCAACTCTGTACCCAATAGAGGATGAATTTTTCACGATGCTGCAAACAACGGTCAAACTGATAGGCGAGAACGCTGAGGAAGGACTGCAATCACACGTAGAGGAGTACGGGATTCGAGCAGTCATAGGGGAGTGCAACAGAATGATGACAACCGTGCGTGGAGAGATAACATGGCAACTGAAACATTGGTTCTGGGCTGAAAAAGGGATCCCGCTTGTACGATCGCAGCAAACAAATCACCAGCTCTCTACTCGCAACAAGATGCGAGCAGAGATGAAGGAGAACAAAACGTGGAGATGGAGCGGCAACGATCCTTGGGGCGCCCCAACCTTCAAGACGACACTCACCAAGGTTTTTCCAGATGAGGAGGGACGACGTAAACCTTGGCGTGACCCTGCAGCAACTGGTTTTTGCAGAGATGGTTCTGCAATGTGAAATCGAGCAGACAACAAAGACCACCAAAATTGGTCTCTATAAAGCAGGACATCGCATCATCCTTCCGCAGCCACGATACAGTCATGAGTTTTTCGATCTTCAAGTTGGACCGTGCCGTATCTGTTGCTGAGAAGGCTGCTGTGCTATTTTGAGCTGGTGTGCCCTCTGTCCACAGGAGTGGGCCACACAACACAACAATAACGGATGACGATTTCGACCTGGAAATCATTGCACCGCAGCATGAGAGAAGCAGAGACGGGGAGAGGGATACAGAAAGTCTGTGCGCCAGACCTTGAACAGCAGGGAGGGGGGGGTGAACAAAATAGTGTGAATCAGAAGGTTCATTATGGAATCTGTGAATCTGAAGGTTCATTACACAAGGTCACGGTCATTCCATGAGAGAGAGAGAGAGAGAGAGAGAGAGAGAGAGAGACAGAGAGAGAGAGCGAGGAGATGAAGACTCTGAACCATGGCACTTGAACAGTCACTTTACAACATATGGTCTGTTATTTATGATACACAATTGTACAATCCCTTATAATGCTCATCTTTGTGTGATTAGTCATAGAGCGACTATGTTATGACAAAAAACACCATCCGTGGTTGTCATCATCATAGAGGTTGGCTAGTGCGTGCCGCTCTCTCTCTCATGCCACCATGTTGCTAAATTTGTGTCACGCAATAGTAAACCGTGCTTGTAGCAGGTCATCTCAGCATTTAATTGAGGCTCCCACACGCGTCCATCCATAGAATGAAGTACGACAATCCTACAGACTCGAAAAGGAAGGTTGGCTACTGCGTGCCACTCTCTCTCGCGAACTGCCATGTTGGTAAATTTGTGTCACGCAGTAGTGAACCGTGCTTGTAGCAGGGCAGCTCAGCATTTAATCGACGCGCTCTCACACGTCCATCAGCAAAATGAAATACCGCAATCCAACACCAATCAAAAACAAAGGTTGGCTACTATGGGCAGCGTTGTCACGCGGGGATCCCTGGGGCCCAAGCCGGGGTAGGGGTTTCAACCCCGGAACCCCGCCGCGGGGCTACCCGACCCCCGCCCCCGCAAAAACAACCCCGGCCCTGCCCCAACCCCGCCACCCCCGCTCCC